ATGATGCTTTGCAGTATTTCAATGTTTTTAAATTTACTGAGGCTTTCTTTGTGGCCTAACATATGGTCTATTACAACTTTGCCTGCTGAAAGGAAGGATGACTTGAAGCACTTACTGATGAAGATTAAAGACTACACTCTGCAGTATGGATTACATCTCAACATAAGGAAAACAAAAATCCTCACAACTGCGCCAAAAAGCAGCATCATAATAAATGGAGAAAAGACTTAAGTTGTCAAAGATTTCATGTAACTTGGTTCCACAATCAATACCAATGAAAGCAGCAGTCAAGACATCAGGTGACATATTGCACTGGGCAAATGTGCTGCAAAAGACGTCTTTCAAGTGCTGAAGAGCAAAGACATCTCTTTGAAGACTAAAGTGTGCCTAACCCAAGCCATGGTATTTTCAATCACATCATATGAATGTGAGAGCTGGACAACGAATAAGAAAGACTAAAGAAGAGTTGATGTTTTGAGTTGTGGTGTTGGTGAAGAATACTGAAAGTACCATGGACAGCCAAAAGAACTAACAAATCTGTCCTGGAAGAAGTGCAGCCAGAATGCTCCTTGGAACATTGTCTCTTATGATGGTTTTTGCCTTAAAGTCAATTTTCAGAAATTAATACTGCCACTCCTGTTTTTTTTAGATTGCCATTTGCTTGATCTATCTTTTTCCAAACTTTGATCTTTAGTCTATTTTTGTCTTTGTGTCTTGTAGACAGCATATTGATGGGTCATGTTTTCTTATCCCACCTGCAACTCTCTGTCTCTTGAGTGGTGCATTTAATCCATTTACATTCACTGAACTTATCGACAAGTATGAATTTATTAATGTCATTTTGTTATGTGTTTTTTTCTTGTTGTTGCTGACTTCCTTGCTCTGTATAATTTTCTGTGCTGAACTTACTTTTGTTATGAATTTCGTTATCATTTCTTTTGTTATTGTTTTAGTATTTGCTAAATATTTGTGCCTCTTTCATTTTCATGTGAAGGTTTATTATTTTTCTTTGAGGTTACCCTACGGTTTATCATTTCATTCCCAAAGTATGTTGTTGTTGTTTTATGTGCCGTGGAGTCAGACCCGACTCATAGTGACCTCTCCTTGGGTTTCCGAGGTGGTATCACTACAGAAGTAGATTACCCAACCTTCCTTCTGAGGAGTGGCTGATGGGTTTGAACCGCCACCCTTCTAGTTAGCAGTCAAGTGCCTTACACACTATGCTACCAGAGCTCCCTTCCCAAGTATAGGACAGTCTACTCTACCTCACAATTGTCTTGACTTCCTCACCATTTGTTGTTATTGTTATGTGCCGTCGAGTTGGACCCGACTCATAGGAACCCTTCCTTGGGTTTTCCGAGGCAGTATCACTACAGAAGTAGATTGCCCCATCTTCCTTCCGAGAAGTGGCTGGTGGGTTTGAACCACCAGCCTTCTGGTTAGGAGTCAAGTGCCTTAGGCACTATGCTACCAGAGCTCCCTCCTCACCATTTAGAAGTTCTATAACTACACTATTTTTTCCCTCTTTTTGGTTTGTAGTTGTCCTCATTTACCAATTGATGTCTCTGATTCCCTGTTTACAGTCTTGTAGGTTTATTTTATTTTGGATCCTTCCATAACAGGTTGATTTCTGGGTTATGTCATCATGTGTGCTAATCACAGGCTGCTGTTTGGTGTTGCTGATTCTCTGTCTGAAGGGCTTCCTTTAGCATCTCTTGAAAGGTTGGTCTAGTTTTAACAAATTCCCCTAATTTTTGTTTATCTGGAAATATCCTAATTTCAACATCACATTGAAGGATAATTTTGCTGGGTATATAATTCTTTGTTGGAAATTTTTTTCTTTCAGTGTTTTATATATATCATCTGTTATGTACTTCTAGTGCTGCACTAACAGAAATACCACAAATGGGTGGTTTGAACAAATAGATTTTATTCTCTTACAATTTTGGAGGCTAGACATCCAAGTTCAAGGTGTCAAGCTCTAGGGGCTGGGTGAAAGACCCTTGATCTTAGGTTTCAGCTCTGTCTCTTGCTCCCAACCCACTGGAGCTAGAGGTGTCTCTTCACTCAGGCAGCTGCAGACTGCTGAGGCTAATAAGCCCAAGGTTGATAAATAAAATGGCACAGTCTCAATATAACCAAACAACACAGCATACTAGTAGTTGAAGTCCAGAGAGTCCCAAAATCAGCAGACAATGTGGTAGGCCACCGAGATAAAGACTCAGCCAAATGCAGGGTCCAAGCATACCAAAAAGCTTCAGACCATTCCCAAAGCTATTCTTCATATACTGGAAGCCAGCCACATCCCTAAAGGACCTATTCAGCTGCTCATGGCAGATTCCATCATAGAGTTGATTGCCAGTCACATCAAGGGGAATAACTATAACCAGCTGGCACTCAAAACCAGACCCAGCCAAGCTGACACATAACCTTAACTATCACATCATCCCACTACCTTCTTGCCTGCATGATTTCTGCCAAAAAGTCAGAGCTTAGTCTTATCAGTTGCCCTTCGTAGGTCACTTTTTGTTTTTCCTTTGCTGCTTTCAGGATTCTTTGTCTTTGGTTTTAGTGAGTCTGATGACAGTAAGTCTTGGTGATTTTCTTTTTGGGTCTACTCTGTATAGGGTTCACTGAACTTCTTGAATGGGTATATTCTTATCTTTCATCATATTAGGGAAATTCTCTTTCAACAAATCTTTGACAATTTTCTCTGTGGTTTTATTGGTCTCTTCCTGTTCTGGAATTCTGATTACATGTAGGTTTTCCTCTTGATGGCATCCTATACGTCTCTTAGGCTTTCTTCATTTTGTTTTGATCTCTTTTCTAACTGATCCCTTAACAAAGTAGTATTGAGATATTTGTCTTCAGTGTCTCCATTCTGTCTTCCATTGATTCAATTCTACCCCTTTGCCCATTCAATGTGTTATCTATTTCTGAAAATTTAGTATTAGTCTTCTTTTCTATTTGTAGCTTTTGCATCGTTTCTAACTTTTCATTCATTTTTGTCAATTTGTTCTTGTATTGTTTTCTTAAATTGTTCTAGAGTTTCATCTGTATTTTCCTTAATTTTGTCAGTGTTTTCCTTGATCTCTTAATCCACTGATGGTACTTAAATATAATTCTTTTGAATTCCTTATAGGAAGTTGCAATGCAGCTTCTTCCTCAGGGAGGTTTTCTGGGTCTGTATCCTGGCCCCTGTTTCTACTACTTTATCTTGCTTCTTTGTGTGACTGGAATGGTCAGTTGTCTCTGAGACATTGATACATCATTGTATTTATATTTAATTGGTGATTTTATGTTGGTGTGATTCACCTAAGATTTTTTTTTCTTTATTTTGTTTTGATGTATCTGAGTGAAGAGAGTACTATGCTCCTCTATTCATTAGTTGGCAGTACATAGGCATTCACCACCTGTCTCCTGGTAGTTGTGAAAGAGAATGAGAGTGTGTGCACAGATATCTGTTAGCTGTCTGTGAAGAGCAGTTAATGGTGAATTGGATTGGCACTGGTGACCGTCTAACATTGGTTAGTTGGTGCAAAGCAAGTGGTGGCGCTCCCACACTGGGTGGGGTTGCAAGAGGTATGGGTATGGTTGGGTTGTATGGGCATAGGTACTGTCTCCCAATCAGTTGGACAACAAAACAATTAAAAACACACACACACACACACAAATAATAAGACAAAAAACACAAACTGCGTAAACAAATAGAAGCACCAAAAAAAAAAAAAAAAGGCAATAAATGAGAAGATATATTTTTAAAAAGACAAAAGATAAACAGAAATAGAGAAAAAGCCCACAATGTCTGGGGAGTGAGTGAGATAAAAGAGCAAGAGTAAAAGAATCATAAAGAAAAAATGTGAAAACTGTAAACAGAAAAATTAGGATGGGAAGAACCAAAAGACAGAAAAAGATGGGAACCAGGAAAAGAGAAGACAAAAAAAAAGATAAAGCCAAGAATCAGGGAAGAGAAAAAGGAAAAAATATATATGTATATATAAAAGAAGAAAGGAGGAAGAAAAAAAGAATAAAAACAAACAAACAAAAACAAAACTAGGGGGCAGGGCAGGGCATCCAGGCTCTTTCAAGGCACAGACCAAGATTGAATTCCTGCTGGTCCATAAGGTGGGTGAAGGTGTGGGATGGCCATACCTCCATTCACCAAGAGGCTGTGGGGTATATGTAACAAGGGGAGCAACACACTTTTCTAGTTGTCAGCCTCCAGTGCAGTTGCCTATACTGTCTTCAGCAAGTGAAGCCTATTTTTAGGTTGCTGTTTGGAAAAAAACACTGCTTGCAAATATTCAAAATGGCTGAGCCCTTAGTATAGTTGAAAGTCCACCGCTCACTCTGTCACCTTATTTGCCTTATTTTCTGTTTTCTAATCTAGTTGTCAGTCACCAGTGCCATCATTCATGCATTCCTTGTTGAGCAGTGCCAACTCTTAGGTTGCTGCCCAGATCGTAATGCTACTTGTAAATATTCAAACTGGCCATGCCGTCAGAATAATCAACATTCCACAGCTCCATTTGTCTCCTTATTCACTGTTTTCATTCAGGTTCTTCTACGAGTTGGCATTTAATCCATTTCTGTATATGTCTCTTCAAATCTCAGGATTCTAGATTTATCTTCTGTTATCTGTTTCAATTGGTTTTTCATTTCTTTGCTGAAGAGGGGCTATGTAGCTCATCTGCCTATTCTGCCATCTTGCCGGTAAGTCTAAGCCTGGAATCATTAAGAATTTGAGGTTTGTTCCAACTTTTTCACCCATTCTATCAGAATTCATTTATTGTGGCCCTGAATAGAATGGTCACTAGTAGTAGCTGTACACCATTTAATTTTTCTGGACTCAGGGTCGATGAAGCTGTGGTTCACATTGATGATTAGTCCTACAGACTAGTATTATCATCTTCTTTTTATATGAAGGAGAATACATTACTGCTACTCTCTTTATACTATAGAGACAGAGCTCCCAGAGTAGAATCATGCTGCTTTCCCACCTGAGTTCTTTTCCCACGTCAGCATGCTGGGAATCCCCAAGGATTTCAGGCAGGCTAGTGATGAAGTCATGTTGCAGGGGCACTGGAGCAATACTGATCAGCTGCATGATCTTGGTGATGAGATCCTGCAGTAGAGGAGACCATTAGAAGTATAGCACTTTACCCAGAATAGAGAAAGATTTCCTACCAGTGAAATGCAGAGCTGAAATTACTTTGTACATAATGTAACAATAAAGAATACATAGATTCAACCTCAAAACCTATTTTCAGAGGTAAAGGGCCCAGAAAATTTCACATATGGAATGGTATACTAAAAAAAGTAAGATGGATGGTATATTATTTAATTGGTCTGTTAAATTCTTTATTTCATTTAATTCTTCATAATCTCTTGGAGTTTCTCATTTTTAAAATGTAGGGACATGAGTTGCTCAAGGATACACAGTGAATAAACTGAAGACCCAGAATTCTAGACCCAGTGAGACTCTAAACTCATGTTCTTCCAAATAAAAATTCAGTCTCAGAATGTCTGCCAAAGATTAGACTTTTAAGAACTTCTGAAAAGAAATGGGGCTCAAGCTCTAAATGGATTCAACATTGATGTTTAATTACAAGTCACGTAACTGCAAATATGTCCTCTACTTTTCTCAATATGTAATCAAATTAAAACATTTGCACAGAAGTGATGATTTGAGATTTCATCACTTTAGAGAAAATAAAACATAATCATCTCTATACTTTGAAAAGCTAATGAATTTCTTTCCAAATATTTTATTTATTTAATAAATAATATCTAGTCATCATAACTGTATAACCTTCTTTTTGAGAAAATCTAAAGGTGAACTACCCAGGATTCTCCAATTGTGAAAGCTGAAAAATGTGAATTTTCTGTGTAGAAAGGAAAAACAAAAACTTGCAAATTCCAAAAATTTTGTTCTTAAGTATGAAAACATATTCTTTAAATTCAGGAGATATAAAGCCACAAGGCCTACCTTGCCATCTACAATTCTGTCCAGCCATTTTAGCTGATTGATAATGAGTTGAGGCATGCTGATCCCATCACTGTTCTTGCTGAAATGTTAGAATAAGAACGCAAGGAATTCAGTCTTTCTGACTTATATAACAGCAAGCATTAATAGTGCAAAAATACTACAGCCATTTAATTAATATTTTCTGAACATTTATTATGTGTTATGCACTGTGCTAGACAAGAATAAATAAATAAACCATGCAACATATGCTTGAGTATGTCAAGAAAGCTGTCTGAAAGAAGAAATACTAAACCATTACCAGAGGCTAGATCTGGAGAAAGAGTTTAGAGAGGGAAGAGAGGGCTGGATACTATCTGTGTTAATAAACTTTAACAAATTGAGTAAAATAAATATTAAAAAGGGCCAAAACTATAATATGATATATGCTAGAAAGATAAGTACTGCTATGAAAGATGGAAGATCAAATTAGCTATATTCATGAAAGTATTGAAAACCATTTTTGATGAAGAAATGTTGGCTCAATTATTATTACCCACAAAATGGCCATTTCTCCCCTCTTTTCAACTTCTTACGTCTAAAATTTTGAACCATCTCTACTTCCTTTACTCTGAAGCATTCTCAGTCCTTGTAGCCAAACTTAAATGCTTAAGAACACTTAGCCAGGAAATAAGCATCTAGTGTGAGCCATTCAGAGCTCTGGTGGTACAGTGACTCAGGCATTTGACTGCTAATCAGAAGGTTGGTAGTTCAAACCCACGCAGAAGGAAGATGGCAGTCTACTTCCGTAAAGATTTACTGTCATAGAAACCTAATAGAGGTTGCTATGAGTTGGAACCAACTCAATGGCAGTGAATTTGGAATTTTATTGGTGAGCCATTCAATTAAAACATGAATTTTTATCATTAAATCAAGTTTATTATTATTATACATAGGACCCTGAGAAAACTTATATTAAAAAGGAGAAAATACGAATGACCTAGAATCCTGTCAACCAATAGGAGGTCCACTATTAATATGTATGCGTATGCATGTGTGTGTATAATTTTTTTTAAACAAAATACTGGGCTAACCTGTAAGTATTTATTAGTAACATATTTTTTTTTTCAATTAATGTATGAGATTAAGTGAATTAAATGAATAAGGAACACCAAAGAAGAGTTGATGCTTTTAAATTGTGTTGTGTGAAGAACACTGAAAGTACCGTGGATCACCAGAGGAAAGAACAAATCTGTCATTGAAGAAGTGTAGCTGGAATGCACCTTGGAAGCAAAAACGTCCAGACTTCATCTCACCTACTCTGGTCATGTTGTCAGAAGGGACCATTCCTTGGAGAAGGATATCATGCTTGGTAAAGTGGAAAGGTCAGCAAAAAGGAGAAGACCCTCAATGAGATGGAGTGACACAGTGGCTGCAACAATGGGCTCAGTACAGCAAGGACTGTGAGAATGGTGCATGACCGGGCAGTGTTTTCTTCTATTGTATGGAGGGTCGCTGTGAGTTGGAGCCAACTTGATGGCACCTAACAACACCACTACTCTATAACTTTTAATGTCTACATGATACTCTATTGTTTGGATGTATGTAATTTAACTTAACCAATCCCCTATTGTTGAACATCTCAATTGTTTGTAATTTTGTAACTGTTATCTTTATTCTACTTCTCAGTTTTTATCTTAAGATAAATTAGGAAATGTGGCATTGAAGATTAAAGAGTACGCAAAATCTAAGGCTTTTGATACATCCATTCACTGCCCTTCATTTATATGTTCATCATCACTGTATGAGCATGCCTGTTCATTGCACTTTCGGTAGAGGAGACCTTCTGAGAGTAGAAATTGTACTTCATTGTTTTAATTTTGTGTTTCTTTGATTACTAACAAAAGTGAACATTTTTTAATGTTCATTGCTCTTGTATTTGTATGTGAATTGCCTGTCCATGACCTTTGTCTACTTTTCTGGTAGGCTATTCATTTATATCTGACACAACTATTTTTTAAAACAGGCATAAATTACAACATAAAAGGTAAAGAACAATATTCAGAGAATACTTGACTCCAGACAACTGGCTCCCTTCCTTGAAGACAACTACTTTGTATTAGTTGACTGTATATTCTACTAGGAATAGTCCATGCATAAAAGAATACAACAACACAAAAAACACTGCTGTCAAGTCCATTCAAATCATAGCGACCCCTCCTTGGGTTTCTGAGGCGTTATCTCTACAGAAGTAGATTGCCCAACCTTCCTTCCAAGGAGTGGCTGGTGGGTTTGAACTGCCAGCCTTCTGGTTAGCAGTCAAATGCCTTAGGCACTACACCACCAGAGCTCTCCTGCGTATATAAGCATATGCCATATTTACTTTTAACAATAATCCTATTTATTTTTATGTAGTCCTATTAACAGATAAAATTTCAAAGATATTACAGGAACTTAAGAACCTGAAGTCTTGATAAACAGGACCTACAGAGCAACCAATAATGTTTCAGAGTAACCTTCTGGGCAAGAAACTTAAGTATGCCAGGGTACTTTGAACATTCCAGAATAATCCCACTTACTTTTCAAAAAGAAATTCTGGCAACTTTTCAAATAAAGTTTTGATAACAGCAGGCTAAAAAAGAAGACAAAAGGAATTAGGATATTGTTATATGTCTCTAAAAATATTTGTTAAAAAAGTCCTAACTCTTTACCTGTGCCTGTGAATAGGATCTTGTTTGGAAATAGGACCATTCTTTTATTATGTTAATGAGGTCATATTACAGTAGAGTGGATCCTAAGCCTCGTATTTTCTGACTGGTTTTTTATAAAGAGAAATACAGACACAAAGAAACAGATACACATAGGGGAAAGATGCCATATGACAATGGAGACAGATGCATCTATAAGCCAAAGAATGCCAAGGACTGCTGGCAACTACTAGAAATTAAAAGAGACAAAAGGACCTTCCCCTAGAGCTGATGCCCTGAATTTCTGTTCTTTAAAGCCACCCATTTTGTGGTATTTTGTTACAGCAGTCCTAGGAACTAAGACAGTCTCAAAATACACAACAGAAATGTACAATTAGCCAGAATTCTCTCCAATAAGAGCTCTTGGAGGAAAAACTTGCTATAATTGAAATCTTCTCAATATAAAACTGCCCATGCAAATGCTATCTGTATTTTGAACATAAGCTGCTGGAATACAAAGACTTATCTGTAAGTTATTTCCTGAAAAAAATGCAAAATTACTAACAAGCCAAAATTAGATCAGAGAATCAAAAATATTAAATATTATGACAATCATTAAATAACAAAAACAAAAGATTAACAAATACTGCAGTTTGCAAGAAGATTTACCTTCACAGGAACAAGACAGCTCTTAGATTTAAGCTAACTAAATGGTATTCCAAATTTCAAATGAAAACAAAGAATTTTAAGTATGGGAAGATTAACAGTGGGAGAGAAAAGAAGTAGAAAAATGAAGGGTAGGGTAGAAGGGAAACTTTTCATCATATATATCTTTTATAATTTGAGATGTTTAAAAAATATCAATGCATTATCCACTCAAAAGAATGGAGGAAAAGAGCAAAAATCAAATTATGCAAGTAACTAAAAAGCTAAATGGGAGGTGATGCAGATATGAATATAGCAGAGACATACAAGATACTCAAAGCACACAGGATGCAGCTTTAAGAAACAGGAATCAAAAATATTCGGTAATAACATATCTGACAAGGGACTTATCTCTAGAATTTATAGAATACTCCAACACCTCAATAACAAAAAGACAAACAATCCAATTCAAAACTGGGCAGAAGACATGAATAGACACTTCACCAAGGAGGATATTCAAGCGGCCAACAAACATGAAGAAATGCTCACGATCATTAGCTATTAGAG